TGATTAAACTTTTAAAATAAAATATAAATATTTTGATCGAGATGAGAAATCTGCTTCCTGGTATGGGATAGGTACTAATAGTTTGCATCCAATAATTTAAACAAACGGTCTTAGTTTTTGGGAATATATAAGAATTATGCTCTTATTTGTAGTTCTCACCTTCTCAATAAAGACATAAGAGGCATAAAAAATTAGTATTGCACTTTTTTCCTTAATGCTACTTTCAGACCTCACGCAGCAGAAGCAGTAATAATGCGCGTGCTGCTTCATTTTTGATGCTTGTACAAGTTTAGTTCTAACGCACATCTGAAGCATCTCTGCTGCTCTAGCTGCATGGTTGTTAGGTTTATTCAATGATGATTATAAAATGAATGTGTCCTTATGAAACATTTTTGCTCCACTGCTGTATCATGATTTAGTCAGGAGACCATCCTGCCTTGTCATTCTGATGGAGCATTCTGTCTTTATGAACTGATCAATTGTTCTGTCAGAACAAATACTGTTTTGTAATCATGTGTTATGTTCTGTTAATAAAAGACGGCTGCAGGAGGGGATTCGGAGAAGGAAAGCTTGAAGTTGGGTTGGGCTTTTCCTTCCGCTCCAGCAGAAGCTGCTTGAATCTCTTTCCTGTGTAGACTCAATTTCTATTTTTTTGCAAACCTACATTTTCTGAATCCAACAGCGGTCAAAAAGTGGGTCTTATGCGTGTTGCGTGTTGGGTGGAGCTACCCTATCCTTTCTTTTCCTTTAACTATGGCGGATGAAATCCAGAGAGTCCCTTGGCTTATTTTAATGAATAATGCTATGTCATGACCAAAAGTGCCGGAAGCATCAAAGACGCTTCTGCTGCTTAATTTCTGATGATTGTTCACATTAAGGTCAGACATCCAGTAAAGTGTGTCCAGATACATCTGATGCTTCTGATGCAGAGAGCAGCTTTGCTATATTTGCTGTCATCAGCAGGTAAAAAGTAGTTTCAATCTATGTTGAAGTGAGAAAGTCCATCTGAAAACATGGTGTGTGCAGTCAGTTCATCCAGTTTACCATCCTGCCTTCAAATATTATTTCTATCAGAGCCGCTCAGACCCCTGTACACCGCCGGTGTGCTGTCACTGGGAATCCCATTCAACAGCAGCCCCTTGCCTGGTCTTTTTCCCACTCCAAAAGCTGATGCTTTTGCAGCACGTCGCTGGCCTAATGATGAGACCTTCAGATGCTCAGAAGCTCATGAGGCGCTACTCCTGCTGCTGAAAACACGCTGCAGGACATTTTGCTGTTCCTAGATGCACGTCAACCATTGACTTTGCATATAAACTAACTGCTTCTGCTGCTTCTGCAGCGCGCGGTCTGCGGTCTGAACGTAGCAATAGTTCACCTAATTTTAGTAAAGCTAATCTTAGTCAAGTGAGAGCTTGTTGGGATCCTCAGGCTTGCCCACCAGAGGGCGCCAAGGATCCTCTTCTGTTCTGTGTTATTGTCTTTTAGGACTGGAGTTACTGTTGGGATCTGGAGATTACCCTCTGTCTCCAGCAGAGTGCGCCGTGGGTCTTCTAGGGCTGGAGTCTTCCAGCACACCTGTTGTTCATCTACTCATCAGGAGACCTCCCCTTTATAAGCTCCTGCCAGACCTTGCTTCCACGCCGCAGTGTTGATCTTAGTTTGGTTAGCTACCTGAGCCTCTGTTACTGATTGAATCTTAGTTGTCTCTAGTGTGAGATCAGATTCTAATCTCTCCTTTGTCTGTGCCTCACAGGAAACCTGTCGCTAGTCTGAAGCTCTGGATGAGCTGCCTCACTGGAATCCTGTCTCTAGCCTGAAGCTCTAGGTGAGCCTAACCTGCTAATCTGCCCTGGCGAGCCAACCTGAAGATTCCTATGTGGACTTAACCTGAAGACTTCTGTGTGGAGTTTTACCTGAAGATTCCTATGTGGAATCAGCCTGAAGAATCCTATGTGGATATTCCCTGTTGTTCTCTGCAATGAGCTGGAAGCTCAGATCAAGGTCTGCCATGCTAAGCCTGAAGCTAGACGCTTAGCTTCTCATGAACTCTGCTAACCAACAGTCTCCGGTCCCAGTCAAGACTTCAGCGAACCAGTCTCAGAACTTATTTATGATCTCGTGTTCAGGACTTTTAATAAACATTTGAACTTTTTCCCTGCCTCCTCCGTGTGTGTTCTGCATATGGGCTTGCTCCTTTGATCCATCATGACAGAGCTGTCTCCATGTCCTAGGTTGCACCTATTTTGGGATACCTACTTTTCCTGAGTTGGCTCTCTTTTCTGATAAGGTCGTTGATTATCCAAACAGATCAAGATGGAACAGAATCATCCAACTCACATTCAACTTATAGTATAAACTCATTGGAAAAACAAAAGTAGGACACTTTAAATGTAATTTAAAATCCAAATTTATGTTTAAAAAAGTTTTCAGTTTGATTCATATGCAAAAGGTTTGCTTAATGATGCGATGGAGAAGAGGAGTTGAAGGGCTGGCTCACCATCTTGAACACTATGGCAGGCTGTTTAAATACTTTTACTGAATATGTAATCCGGATATCTAAAATGGATTTCTTTCTAGCCAAAATTAGCATTTCACATATCTAAAAGAACATTCTTCCTATCTAAAATAAACTATTCTTTTTTTTTTTTTTTTACAGCACTAGTTGCTCTATTTTTTGGACAATAGGCTGACAGGAAAGGTATGAGAGAGGGGGAGAGACATGCAGAAAAGAAACACAGGCGGGATTTGAACCCAGGTCGGCTTCATCGAGGACTAAGGCCTCTGTGCACGGGAAGTATGCGCTAACCACTGCGCCACCAAAGCAAACCCCTAAATTAAGCTTTTCAAATATTTTAAATGTAATCCTTACTAGTACAAATGACATCACATTTCCTATTCATGTCTTTTGGGCTTTTACTTCCAGTTATCTAAAACAGAGGAGGGCAATTCTGGTTCCTGAGGGCCTGTATTCTGCAACTTTTAGATGAGCCTTTGGATCAACACACCGGAATCAAGTAATTAGATGATTGAGCGGACTCTGCAGGAACCGACTGCATACTGAGAAGGTAACTCAGCAATTTGATTCAGGTGTGTTAGACCAAGGATGGATCTAAAAGTTGCAGGATACCGGCCCCCAAAAACTGGAATTGCCCATCTCTGATCTATAACAACATTCTTCCTATCTAAAATAAACCTTCTGGATGTCTAAAACTGACTTTGATGAGGATGAAACCTAAAATCAGTTTTCCATAATACAGTTACTGCCAGACATAATGACCATTTCAGATCTAAAAAATGAATATAACATTCTAGATATCCAGAAATCCAATTCTTGACATCAAAAATATATTTCTACTAGTGCTAAGGTCATTGCAGATATCCACTCCTTTTTTATGACTAGTTTAATTAGGATTTCAGATGTCTGAATTTTAATAAAGCCTATCCACAATGCAGTTTGAGATACTTTCAAAAGAATAATGGGTCCAGATGTCTACAAATTTTTTATTTACTTTAAGCGGCCGTTTTAACGTATATTTGCTTGACTGGATGTGTATTTCAGCTATATTTAATAGTATTCCTCCTATGCTGGTGACGATATTCAGTCATCCAAGTCATAGTCATTCCAAATAAGTAAAAAAAATTATCCACTGGACTTGGTTTCCAAGTTTGCAGGCATTTAGCAGGAAGCTTTTTCAATTCAAAATGTCAGAATTAGTGTTGAGTTTGGAGTTTTATATAGAGCCCAAAATCTTTTTTTGAAAACAGATAAATGGAGGCAATAGATGTGTTTCAGTCTCAATGCAAACATTCAGCGACACACAGGAGCTCTTTCAAGCTGGGCACCGTTTCATTCACAACACCTGTCCCATCAACCAGGAATCAGAAATACTTTAATAATCCCAGGGAGGGATTACTTTAGTTACATTACTCCATCTGTAATAGAGTGACTATAGGACCAGTTTGATAGAACACTATTTCATTCAATATATATAATTAGGGGGTCCCTGCTCCATCTAGCCATCAGTTTGGGGGTCCTTGGCCTGGAAAATGTTGAAGACTCCTGGTCTATGGGTTTCAGCTTACTGATATCATCTGCTTACAGTTCAATTAATGCAGGTTCCCTTTTGTAAAATGGGCCTATTCTTTGGACATAGAGAAAAAGAGTTGACAAGAGTTTGCCTAAAGAAGTAGTGCAGAGCTAGAGTCCTTGAAATTAGCTAAATTTGCATATTCAAACAAGTCCAAAATTTTTGCAGCCTATGACAAACTACTGGAAAGTTGGAAGCATAGCTTAGAGTAATGATTAATAAAATCACCTCTTATTGTCACAAAATGCATTAGACTGCATTAAACCTTAGCAACAAACAAGATAACATCACATGCAGTGTTGGCAACAACATAAATTAACACACAGGTGAGTTATCTGGGTAACTGACGTGAACCAAATTAACTGCCAAGAGTTCAATATTTCTGCTGCAGAGAGGAAACCTCTTGGATAACATCAAATATTGTTTACAAGCACGACGAATTCACTGTTTTTTTCCTTTTGATGTTGTTCTTTAATTCTCTGTCTGCTCTGCATAAAACCTGGTAGATAGATGCCATAGTTGGAGATATGAAACAGCAGTTTTCTCTTAGAGAAAACTGCATTTTCTCCTAAAGAAAACATTCTGGCTGGCTCCTTTGCCCTTGTGTCACTCTGTTCTATGTCTGAATACAAACACATGACATAAGTCAGTACCTAGCATAACACAAATGAATCAGAGGTGGAGAACAGCACCTTTCAATATCTGGTGAAAAATTAACTGTTTTAGATTCTTGTATGAAAATACTAATTTTGTTTTAGTTGTATAGATCGCAGCCAAATTGTCTCTGTAAAGTGTCTTGATATGACGTGTTGTAATTTGGCGCTTTAGAAATAAACTGAATTGAATTGAACCATTGCACATTTTTAGTGTCTATCAGACCTCATGAACTCATATAATGACAGGAGGGTCAAACCTGAAATCTGGTGGTGGACTCCTGGACCGATGGCTCTTTAAAGATGGATCAGTCGGATGTTGGGACTTTACATTTATTTCATGTTCCATAGACCTTGAAGAATTCCTGGTAAAGATGTCAAATTTGTGTTTCATAATTATATAAAATTAAATATGACCAAAAACTTATTTAAGAGTTAAAATCATCATTCTCTAACAAAGTATTAAGTAAAGAGTATAGTTAAAAGTTGACTTTAACACACCTTTCATCCATAGAGAAGTCTGGATGCTTGCCTATGGAAATGTCACTTATCACACGATGGTTAGAAGAAGAGGTTGACTTTCTCGGATCAGGATCCATAGTTGCTGTATGACTTTGCTTTGACCCAGTCCTATTATTGAAAAACTACAAGAATTGTTTTCTTTATATCCCATTTATTGTATTAATGTAGAAACACAAAAAAGTCAAGCAAACAAAAAGGTAAAATAAAGAGAAATGTTAACAGTTGTATCAATCACATATTATCACTAAATATAACTTATTTATAAAAATTATTTTCTGTCATAACTTAGAATTTAGAATTTTGATTCAGTGTTTATCTATAGCTTATAGCTTTATATATATATATAGCTTTCCTTTACTGTTAAATTCTGTGTAGATTCCTATGAATTAAATTGCAAAAGCCATTTTTAAGTAGAGAACCAATTAAGTCGCCTCAGACTTATCAAATACATTAAATAGTGAAGGTAAATAAGCTGAATTAAGTTACAGTAATTTGACATGTAATGAAATGATGCTGCTAAAGTTTAACAATAGCAGATAACACTGCTGAAGATGTTAACAACAGATTACTATTACTGCCAGATTCACTGGCCTATGTTTAACTTCCGCCTTCAGCTGTGAACTAACTATGATCAGTTTGTTTCCACTTTCTAACAGAAAAAAAAAATATTTATGGTGCAAGAGTTTTGTTTGTTCAGAAAAGAACTCTCACCTTTTAGTGTGGTATTGTTTAAACTCCTCTGTGGTAATGTTTCCAAGGCTGAGCTGATCGATCTTGTTCACATTTGTCTCATTCTGCGTCTCCAGAAATCATAATGCTCAACTCAGTTTCTCAGCTGAGGGTATGTTGATTATAAAATGCTGTCTGACTAGTTAGGAGCTCTCCCAGACAATGAAGGGTGTATCAGCTATGTTCTTTGAAGCAGAAAAGGCAGAGTTGTTGTTCCGGTTGGAGTTACTCAACAGAAACAAACATCCACACAGTTGTACCTCTGACATTTAATTGTCTAAGTTCAAAAGTATATAATTAGTCCAAAGTCATCGAAACTACATTTTTATCATAAAAGTCTGATATTTCACGGCATTAAAACTAATGACCTACATGTCATTTCAATTCAGTTTATTTCTATAGCTCCAACTCATAACACGTGTCATCTCAAGGCACTTTCCAGTTCAACCAGATCATCCAGTCAGATTGATTCAAAGTTTTCTATCTAAGGAAAACCAGCTGATTGCATCGACTCATTGACTCAAAGGCAATCCCTCACAGTCTGGAGAGGAAAAACTCCCTTTGAACAGGAAGAAACCTCCAGCAGAACCATGGGGGACACACACTGCTGAATGTTGTATAAAATTGGGTTTAACATTTTTTTTTTACATTTTATCACTGCTGCACTTTAAAAATGAAAATATCTGAACGAAATTTCTTTTTGCATACATTCTGTGTTTAAAAAATGACAATAGTCTAAGTCTAAGAAACAGGCTCAGTGTGAGCGGCCATCTGCTGAGGTCGATTGGGGTTCAAGGAGACAGAAGCAGACAGAATAGCAAAGAAATCCTTTTTTATAAAGACATTACACCACAGCTGTCGTTTATTGAGGTTTTAATGTTAGATCAATCTCACTTTGGACATCTGAAAGGGCATCATTAAAAATTGCTCCATAGTGATCCCTATCTTGCTGTTATGCTAGCAGAAAAGCAGAAAGGTGCTGAGAGTGACGCATTGGAAAGTCCCGCCTCCTGCGTTGTGGTTGGTCAGCCAGATTTGGCCAGAGGCAATGCAGGTTCACCTGGCTAAGAATTTCTAAAAGTAGAATGGGAGGCAGATCTTTTAGTTATCAGGCTCCTCTCCTGTGGAACCAACTACCAGTTTTAGTCCGTGAGGCAGACACCCTGTCTACTTTTAAGGCTAGGCTTAAAACTTTCCTTTTTGATAAAGCTTCTAGTTAGAGTGGCTCAGGTTATCCTGAGCTATCTCTATAGTTATGCTGCTATAGGCTTAGACTGCTGGAGGACATAGGGACCCCCATTTCATCATTCTGATTCATTCTATCTCCCCTGATTTTCTTCAGAATATTTTCCTCAAATTATGATAAATCATGTACAAAATGCTCCAGTTATGTCAACAGAACAGATTTATTTATTTCACAGATGTTTGAATGTTTTAACATGTATGTGCAACATGTGAGTTCTTCAGTAACAAAACCAGGTTATTTTCAGATAAAGCTGAAACAAAAAGGACATCTGCTCTGTAGGTTAGCGGGGAGTGCAACACTACAATGCAAAGACATATCCTAGGATACATTGTCCCACATCATACAAATGTTTTATAAGTTGTGTTTACAGTTTAAAACTGAATCTTAAGTAAAGGGAACACACTGTAATCTCTACACTGGATGGAAATTAAATCTTTGAGTCTTTCTGGTAAGAATTGATGGCAGAAAGCTGAGCAGTTACTGTGATCACTGCCAGGCTGCCTCAGCAGAACAGTCCTATATAAACCTGAACATCCATAATGGATGCAGTCTGGCAGTGGGCTGAGTGCAAGGTGCAATCATCTAAAATCATAATGGCATCGATTGAAGCTTTGATTGTCTGAAATATTCTGTGTACATCAAACCATCTACAGCTTATAGAAAAAGGTATAAACTGCATTTCAGATCTTCTGCTGATGGAGTCACTGAAATCTGGATTGTTTCTTGTGACCAGGAGATGTGTTATATCAGACAGACTGAAGCAAACCAACTGTACACAGATATAGTGCAGTAGCAGAATTGCTAGATAAACATGAGTTTTGGTTTTTCTACAGCTTCCCAGCAGCATTTGGCTCTACTTCCTGCTTATATGATGCCTCCAGGAACCTGCTGGGTAACAGTGGGCTCTGCTCATGTTCAGGATCACAGGCCTATGAGGCACAGGTCTGCAGCCTTTACAGCCCAAACAGACAGATGCTAATACACCCTAACCACAGCCACAGATGTTATGTGACATTTGAAAAAACAAAACTTATATTGCATAAAATCTCTGCTAAAGGAAATGTGTTATTTTTTTAAAGAGCCAACGTTATTTTCTGGAAACACACACTTTTCATAAACTAGGATGGGTATATTTACTTCTTTGTGGAAAATAATCTAACAGTTCTCAATCAAATTCCAATCATAAAATGAATCAAATGTTATTGGGGCTTTTTAAGGGTGTAAATAATAATCATTTTGTATCGATGCATCAATCCAACAGCAGATGATCCAATGCATCAACACGTCCGCAAGAGTGTTTTTCCTCTTTTTATCCCTTTACTCCTGCATGTAATTCTGACCCTTGCCATCCTACCGCGCTTCCTTTAGCCACTACCCTCTTTCTGCTTGCACACACACACACACACACACACACACACACACACACACACACACACACACACACACACACACACACACACACACACACTCGCATAAACAGTAGGCATGACAGGCATGGCAGAGGAAAAAGATGATTACACACCCCTTTCGGATTCAAGTCATTTGTGTGGAAGTATTTCGTGATGAATTCTTGAATATCAAAAATAATAGAATGTCTGGGTCAGGAAATTGATACTGAATCGAATCGCCATGATGGGTGTGATTTACACCCCTAATGCTTTTACTGTCATTCTGATGTGGAAATTAAATCCAATTATGGCAAAGATACGAGGAGGGGGGGTGTGACTGGATCTGCAGACCTGAGCAGCAGCTGTGTCTGATTGGCAGTGTGAGCAGGTTAGTAATCGATATGATGGCTACTCTTCAACATACTGCATCATTCCCATGGTTTCAATTAATACTCAACAGTAGATTGAAATCACAATCCATACGTCCATGAAGAATCAGAGGTTTGTAAACAGACATGTTGGTGTTTCTGCAGCCCACTGTCAGCCCCCTCCCTGGAACTGGACGATTAAAGGTTGATAAATATAAATGCAGGTATCAGCTATGAGTCTCTTTTCATCATTTCTTCTTGCGCTCGCTGCTTCGCCTGGAGTGCGGGTCCCTCAGAGCCCCCAGGCTCCGCACCCCCTCCAGCAGCATGGGGGTGCCATGGTGAGGGTCTGTTCAGCAAATGAGAGAGAAAAGCTGTTAGTAAAAGAGAATCAGTGAAACATCACCAGTGATCTCCTATAGGAGCAGACCTCACGGCATAAAGGTCTCCTGTCTAATCAGCTGTTTAAAGTAGTGAGCAGACAAAGTGCTCCTCGACTACAGGTTAGAAATCACTTCCTCTGTCCTCTGAACTAACAGAAGGACTGTTTCTTCATCCACACTCAATCCCTCATAGAACATTAGCCAATAAAACTACAGCTAATGCAGTATTCCCCGTAGAACCAGACTTCTGTTCATTTAACATTCAGCTAAATTGTTTTTGTTTCAAACTGAAGGTAGTTTTGTTTTTTCTATATGTTCCATATGAAACACAGCCAGAGTCGGACAGAACTGATATTTTGGCCAATAAGAAGAGACTGGAAGCACCAACAACATGAAGTAAATGGTACAAACCCAAACCGGCCACTAAGCTCTGACCCGGACCACTAACCAACCAAATGTCCCCCGGAGGGTCCGTCACATTAAGGGCTGTCCCAAACCACGTAGTGGGTAGGGCCAGAGAAATGCTCAGCCCTTAAATAGTGAGTCTGCATTATTGCAGGCAGGGATTCAGCTGATGTTGTGAGGAGGAAACACATGCATTTTAGTGCAAGTTCCATTTGATATCTTCACTGACAGAAAATAATAATTTAGTAAAAAGGAAAACACAATGTTAATCCCTAAACTGAAGGTCCTCTTTGAAATAGATTTATTTGACTGGTTAGATTTATTTTTAAAGGAAAAGTCCGGTGATGTTTAGAACTCAAACTTCTGAAAGTGTTTTAAATATGAAATTATTCCATACTGTTCAATAAATTAGTGTTTTTAATGAAGAATAATTTTCATTTGAATGAGCTAATCAACTGAATGAGCAATCAACTGGTTTTCCTTGGATAGAAAACTTTGTATCAATCTGACTGGATGATCTGGTGAACTGGAAAGTGCCTTGAGATGACATGTGTTGTGAATTTGGCGCTATAGAAATAAACAGAACTGAACTGAACTGAGCTAATGGAGGCATCCATCTTTGTCAAAGAACACTGCTGCGACCTACTGGTTTGTGACGTCACGGTGCGGTATCGGCTGTTGATCAAGTCCCAGTGCTCCCACTCCTAGACTAAAAGATCGCGACGAAAATGATTGTTTTTATGTTTTTACTGATTAACGCTAAATTCATTAAATCACTGCAAACGTATTAGTTTTATGTATAGATAATGATGCACTGATTATTCCTTGCTGACCGGACTTTCCTACAGCGATTGTACATGCGGCCTCACTGTGTTGCCATAGTAACGACTGCTTTCTGTTGCAGGGAAGAAGCAGTTCTATTCATGTTTATACCCCCCATGTACAATCCAGGTGCCTTCCAAAGCTGGGGGTGGGACTTCACTTAGAGTGACAGTGGATGGTGAAGGGTTAGTGGTTAGGGAGCGGTTTGGGATTCAGCTGATGTCACCTGAATCCCAGCTAACCTTCGAGGACTCCATCTAACACTGCATGAGCCGCCATTGTCCCACTGCTGTTGCTGAGGGAACTGTGTGTAAACATAGTTCTGTCACTTTGGTGTTAGATTTGTACCTTAATAACAGAACATTAAGCAATGTGTAAAAACCCCAAACATTTAAAAAGAACAATTCCAGAAGAACTCACTGTTTGTGCTCACAGAGAACTATAGAGATACACAGCAGGACAAAATATGTTTGATTATTATTTTTATTATTCAAAAGGGCAAATGCAGATCTTCTAAACCACATATTACTGTTTTCAAAAATCTATTCAAGTTTCTGAGAACCACAGAGAAACTAAACTGTAGGTGTTTGGACTGCTATCGCCCCCTAGTGTTTGAACAGTTGGTTTATCTTGTGTCTCAGGGAGCCACACAGTTAGGCCTGGTGTTTAAAAAGCAAAATAAATAAAAACAGGCAGAGAGATGGAAAACATCTCACTACTGAACGATGGTGACAGCAGCTGGTGAACACTCACCAATGACTTTAGCCTGGAGTCTGACCTTCAGGCTGCTGTCTCTCCGTCCTTTGGCCACCACAGTCATCTCCTCCTGAACAATCCCCTCCTGGTGAGTCTTGTACTCACAGTTCACCTTTACTCCTCCTATTGGGGGTGGGGGTGGGGTTGAGGGTACAGCGTATATTGTGCTGTTAGATTCAGTAACATCAGAGCTTTTTAAAATGAGTAGATTTATTTACATGCTGTTGATAAAGGTTCTCTTGATGATTAAAATCCTCATACTATAGGTAGATAATGGGAGCTGTAAATTCAGAAGTCTGTCTCTTAGGTGGGATTTATCCTCCTGTAACACAATCTGACATTTTTCTTGGTTTTATTAGTTCTGCATCAGTATCTACCTCCAGTTCCTCAGCTTTGAATCTATTCACAGGCAGCTCCTCCACCTCCAGAGGGCAGTGGTGGGACAGCAGCTACTGGATCTCCTGCTGCTCTTTACCAGCAGCAAAGGTTAACAAGAGAATCTCATCTATGGTTATGAAATCATTTCCAAATAAAGCTCCTCCTGACCAGGGGTGGATTTAGGAAATTTGAGGCCCTAGGCAGAGACAGGGAGGGGCCCTCTGATTGAGAAGACAACACATAGAACAGCCCCATTCTACAGATAGAGAAATGTTAATAGAATAGACATCCATTATCTGTTCTAGGTTGTGTCCCTCTCTTCTTGTCCCTTTTCTTCTTGTTTTCCTCTCTATGTTTTGTACTCAGCTGACTTTTCATGCTGTCTCTAAAGGAATGAAAGATTTTTTCCAAGCACTAAGCTCACTTAGCTGATTGCTCCTTCCTGTGTTTCCAAAAAGGCCAAAGTAAATAACCCAGTCCTTCTTTTCACTGTAGACAAGCCATGATCTGCTTCTCTGTTCTCCATTTATCATTTGGATGAAATAATAGCTGCATGAATCATGACAGCAGACAAGATAGAGGAGAGCAGGAGGCGGGGTTACCAATCTACTCGCTCTGGAGAGCAGAGTTCGCTGCTTTTAGATGTTGTCTCCAAAGTCTCCAGTAGCAGAAAAAAGTCTCTAGATTTGGCGCTAGGAGCTTTTTAGAAATCAAAGTGCTAGAGGGGTCTGAAAAGTGGGTAAATAAAGCGACTTAAGCGCTAAGTTGGCAACACTGCTCTTTGCATGGTTTGTTTTCAAATGGTTTGCTGCTGTCTGTTTGGACCTTTCTGAACGTGCAGCAAATGGACTGATCCAATATTGTGGACACTGAAGGGGGGGGGGCTGAGACACACTTAATATTATCAGCGTTCTGATGGCATTTTAGCCAAAGGATTTTTATCAAAAACATAATTTATGTGCACAAATAAGGAATAGTTGTATTAACCATACATGTAAGTAGAGTTTAATGGGGCCCCCAGGAACTTGGGGCCCTAGGTCACTGCCTAGTATTGCCTAATGGTAAATCCCCTCTGGTCCTGACTTAATACAAACATTTAGAGCCTGAATCCATGTTAATAATGATGTTCTCTGAGGCCAGACCTTCTTCTAAATGACCAGCTGAGGCGTTATGCTGCTCTCAGGACCATCAGTCTCTCCATGTACCTGCCAGCCATTCGCTAAATTTAACCACATGGGTGGAACTCTGTGGGTGTGATGTGCATAAATAGTGTTCTTTTGTCTGGACATGGAACTCCTAAAGAAGAGATGATGTTTAGGATACTCTTCAGAGAAGAGAACAGTTTCCACCAAGCTCATAAATGTGAAATGAAGTTCCTTTGAAGTCTGAGTCAGATGTTCTGCTGCGTCTAACATCTTCATAGAGATCAGACCTCACTGCTGCTTGGACATCTCATAATCAGAGCTTTCTCTCATCTCCACCCTGTTTGAACCTTTTTTGCTAGATTAGACCTAAACTTTACAGCTGATAAAAGATAACATTTTTCGGTAAGCTCCAAATCTCACCACCGTTCCTCCAAACATCTCATAGAGCAAATGAACAAATACAACATTTATCAAAGTATTTTCATTTCTTGGTAAGGATTTTCTCTCTCACTAAAACTCAAAATAAACAAAGAGCAGAAAGGTAACTGCTGGACCCACCCTCCAGTATGGAGTTAACCCGCTGGACCCGCAGGTTCTGGGGCCTCCGAGTTGGAGAGAAGGAAGGAAGACAGGCCAGCTCCTTCCCCAGAGTGGGCGTGTCTGGGAGGGTGAAGGTGATCTCATAATGGTGGTGGCTCTTAAGGAACCCGGCCTGGAGAGAAACAGCAGGTCAGTCAGAAGCAGAGGCTGGTTTAAAGAAAAGTCCGGTTATATTCACAATTCAAACTTCTGAAAGTCCTTTAAATATGAAATTATTACATCCTGTTCAATAAACTGTTTTTAATTCAGAGTAATTTTCATCTGAATGTGCTTTACTGGAGGCATCCATGTTTGTCAAAGAACACTACTGCCACCTACTGGTTAGTGACGTCACGGTGCGGTATCGGCTGTTGATCAAGTCCCAGTGCTGTATCTGGTGTTTGTCACAACGCGCTATTATCCAAGTCATCTGGAAAACATTCTTCTTCCAAATGTTGGCTACATATTACGGGTTTTTTCTCTGGCCAGAAGTTCGATGGCAAATCCTCCCTCTTCAAGTTGGCGATCCAACGACCAACCCGTCCGTGGAGGATCAGGAATCAGAAAGGTGGAATAACTCTTTATTTCACTTTTACCCGATGTATTCCAACATCCAGCTGCCATGCACGTGGGCATTGTCAGTTTCACTATAGCTCTGGTGAATTTCAATGGTGAAGTCCTCTGGAAATCTTCAATAATTGTTGTTGATTGCAGATGTGTCTAGTAGTTCCCATTGATTTAGCTTGTAAAGCGGGGAGAATGGCGCTAGGCTTACCGCACCGTGACGTCACTGCTGGAAGATGGCGGGAGGGAGGGGTTACTGTAAAATCAACTGACCGGACTTTTCCTTTAAAACAGTTTATTGATGGTTTTAGGAGGGAAGAGTAATTTAGTCTAAGTGGCAGTGGCGGCTGGTGAAAAATATTTTTGGTGGGGCTGATATAGCCTAGTGTATGTCTCCAACTAATCCGGAATAAGAATTCAAATAAACAATTGGACTATACATACAATTTAACAGTAATGGTTTAATTTACTATATAATAACAGTAACAGTGATGATTTGGGTCACTGTGACGGGGTTCTTTGGCCTCCAAGAATCCAGGCTCAGTCGGGTTACCGGTGTTGGTGATTTATTGTGCTCAAAAACTCAAAACAGGGTGCAAAAGAAACTAAACATGTACAAGATACTCTGGGCCTCAGCCTCCCTCCAGTTACCAGCAATGTAACAAAGAAACAGAAAACAAAAATTGCCACTTTTCTTCCCACAGTCCTCATTAAATAGTTTAAGCCCCTCACCTCAGGCTCTCTTATTTCTGATTTCTTCTCATAAATCAGTTTTGTCCACATATTACCTCCACAAACAATTGATGTACAAAAACAAATAATTTTTACAACTTAATTATTTTACACAGATTCATTGAATTATTCACTTACACCAAACTGGGTTTGAACCCAGCAAAGACGCAGCCAGACTGAAGATGACAAGTCCCCATAGCATAAACATGTACACACCCACACCCCCCACACCCCCCACATACCCACACACACACACACACACACACACACACACCCACACACACACACACGGCTAACCTCACTGAAATATTAAGTGTGCACCCTCAATATGCCAGCAGGTAACCAGGAACAGCTTGTGTGTTTTAAGTTCATGGAGCTACTTGGCTCAGCGCGAGTGAATTGGTCCTCACAAACACAGTATAACAGGAATGTGTGTTTGGCGCGCAAAGTTAGAGGATGTGGATTCGTCACAGTCACAATAACCATGACATGAAATGTTCATATCCTACAACAGCGATGTTCTTCTGGCAAACGGGTAGATAAATAAGGATCTCACCGAATTTGGTGGAAGCTGCATCTCGTTCGTTACATTCGCCATCGTCCCTCTAATTGTCTGCACCTGCGCTTGGGTTCAGAAGCCTGTTAAAGCGCAGTATTTTCAGCGCCCCAATACCATAAAGTTCCGAGACGCTGATTGGCCATTAAATTCATCTAACAATAGTACATGATTGACAGATTCTCTGCAAATGTGGGTCAGTCTGATCAGCGCCCCCAGAACAGAGACGGTAGGAGTCTGTCTGTGGAAATCCACAAATTAATGACAGTAGGTAGGGAAATGCAGTTTATATAATTTGTTTTGCTTATATGTAAACACTCTAGAGAGTAAAACTGACATTTATGAGTTAATTTCTAAAAAAATATTTTACGTTTCTCTCTTCTTATCAGGGAGGACGGTGCCCCAGCGCCCCCTATGGGCCGGCCGCCACTGCTAAGTGGTTATGATTGATTGTTCTACTGTGACGATCCAAAGAGCAGTTTCTGCCCTAAGTGCAGCTGAATAACATGTTTAGAGTTTGCTACATGATGTTCCAAAAATACATAATCCAATTCAATTCCAAAATACTTGATTAATCCAAAAGAGAAATAAAATCAAATGGTGACGTAACTCATCTGCCTTTTCTAGATCATTTCTAACTTAATGGGAAACTTTTTCTGGTGCTGTTACTGTCAGTGATTAGGAAATTCAGTGTAAATGATTATTGGAAATCACAGACAAACTGATGCCTGTTCTGGACATCTCCCTTTCCCATGTCTGTCTGTTCTGATTTCAAATATTTTACCTGGAAAAATAAAGTTTAATTCAGAGTTTAGTTTGGAATTTTCTACATAAACTCATAAAGACACCTTAACCAAGTAGCTCCCATCCTTCTCTAAGACGGCAACAAGGGTGGAGAGGTTAGATTGGTCGTCCCTTCGGGTTGGAGAACCAGGTGGTTCATCATCGTCAGGGAAACGAACACCACCTGCTTTGGATGTGGAGCCTGGAAAACATGGACAATAACAGAGAGACAATCCTTCTAAGCTGTTCCTCAGAACATATGCTGGAAAAGGTCTGGAGACAGGACATCCATCCTTCATCCATCCATCCATCCATCCTTCCATCCATCGATCCATCCATCCATCCATCCATCAACCATCCATCCATCCATCCATCCATCCATCCATCCATCCATCCATCCATCGATCCATCCATCCATCCATTATTCATCCATCCATCCATCCATCCATCCATCCATCCATCCATCCATCCATCCATCCATTATTCATCCATCCATCCATCCATCCATCCATCCTTCATCCATCCATCCATCCATCCATCCATTATTCATCCATCCATCCATCCATCCATTATTCATCCATCCATCCATCCATCCATCTATCCATCCATCCTTCATCCATCCATCCATCCATCCATTATTCATCCATCCATCCATTATTCATCCATCCATCCATCCATCCATTATTCATCCATCCATCCATCCATCCATCCATCCATCCATCCATCCATCCATCCTTCATCCATCCATCCATCCATCCATCCATCCATCCATCCATTATTCATCCATCCATCCATCCATCCATCCATTATTCATCCATCCATCCATTATTCATCCATCCATCCATCCATCCATCCTTCATCCATCCATCCATCCATCCATCCATTATTCATCCATCCATCCATCCATCCATCCATTATTCATCCATCCATCCATCCATCCTTCATCCATCCATCCATCCATCCATCCATCATCTGAAGCAGAACCAAAGAAGAACCCAAACATACAAAAGGTGAACATTAAAACTTCTTGGGGTGTCCTGTGTACCTTTTCTTCCTGTTGCCATGGTAATGGTTATTATTGGACTATTGTCAGATTAGACTTCTGCGATGTCACCACTGACCTGAGGATAAACAAAGAAACATGGTGGTGAACATGGTGTTAGAGCATCATCTGCTGCTCTGGACTGAAAAATGTTTATTCAAACAGGAACAAAGTGCTTCAGTGCTGTTTGGACATTACTTTGTAATCTCTTCATCTTTTTGTCAGGAAATGCCTCCTCAGTCAGAGAACCTGCAGCACATATCATTTAGAAATGGAGTCTGTCCTGGTAACTTATACAAAATATATTTTTAATTATAAACCCATAAGATGTTGTGAGAACAAACATCTGCTGTTAGAGTTTAGTCACAGTAGCAGCAGATTTATCCTTCAATAAAGGAATTTTATGGTTTTCATAAAACCAAAGCACTTCAATTCAGCAGAGACAGAATGTTACAATTGTTACAAATCACAATTATTCTGGCACTTTTAAAAACACCTTTTAAACTAACTCTGGCTTTTATAAATAGTTAATTGCTAAATTGTTTAAACTACATAATATTTAGGTTCAAGTTAAAAAAAACAAAACAGAGTAGTCCACAGTAGCACTTGTTGGGATCCAGGGGCTTGCCCACCAGAGGGCGCTGAGGATCCCTTCCTGATGGTTTGTGCTGCTGTTGGGATCTGGGGTGCTGTCTACCTTCCTCCACCAGAGGGCGTACTGGATCTCCTGAAGCTAGAGCTGACTTCACCAGCTGCTTCTCATCTGCTCATCAGGGGACCAGTACTTAAGTGGGCTGTGGACAACACTCCAGGGCCAGAGTGTTTTGCCAGTTATGGTTAGCAAGTCTGAGCCAATCTGCCTGCCTGAATCTAGACTCTCTGACTACCTGAACCTAACCTGTTTTTGTCCTCTCTGCTTCTAGGAAGAACCTGTCTGAAACCTGAAACTTTGGAAGAGTTTCTCTGTCTGAAACCAGTCTGTCTGATCACGGAGGAACCCTGGAGAATCAAACCTGTCAGTCTTCAGCCTGCCGTCAGCCTCTGGACCCTCCAGGTTTCCCCCCTCTGCCACCCTGCTCAAAATCTCTGAACAGGTACAAACCTGCGCTCAATCTACCAGCAAGAATACCCGGCTTCTGCTAACCATTCTGTCCCCCTCTGCAGTGAGAATCAGTCGTGACCAATCCTGGACCAGATAATCCCCTGAACCAGTTCTATATTCAAACCTGTGTGTTTAAATAAACCTTTGAACTTTTTCCCCATTCTCAGAGTGTGTTCTGCATGTGGGCTAGTCACCAGATACCCATCATGACAGCACTCTGAGATGTTCTGCCTCTGACCTCAGAGGTTTGTTACAGAACATCAGTGAACAGACAGCATGGTGAGAACCAAGGAACCCAGCAGGCAGGTCAGGGAGAGAGCTGTGGACACCTTAATGTTCTAAAACAGCATCAATGATTACCAACGATCTGCAGAATTACCAACATGTTTCCACCACATCCTGAACTAACAGCAGGGTGGGCGTTGATCAGTGGTAACTGTGTGGGAGCTGCAGAGATCTCCTGCTCAAGTGGGACCATCTAACCAGTCAGGGACAGCCATCATCGGAAAAAACAAGTTCTAATTCCAGGACGACACCAGCCTGCAGATCTCGTTGGGGGTCTGATAAGCATCCAGCCATTTTCTACTGCCTCTACTTGGCAGATGGCCGCTCACACTGAGCCTGGTTCTGCTGGAGGTTTCTTCCTGTTCAAAGGGAGTTTTTCCTCTCCACTGTCGCTACAAACATGCTTAGTGTGAGAGATTGCCTTCGAGTCGATGCAATCAGCTGGTTTTCCTTACACAGAAAACTTTGAATCAATCTGACATGGTGATCTGGTGAACTGTAAAGTGCCTTGAGATGCCATGTGTTGTGAATTTGGCTCTATAGAAATAAACTGAATTGAATTAATGACAAGATTTTCCTGAAAAAAGATTTAAATAAACTGTCAAGTTTAATTGAGAAATTTAAAATACAAATTAGCGGTGTTTGTTTCCATATTTCTAGTCTGACCACTGGCGCCTCCAGAAATGTTTGATGGGGGGCCAGATGGGGCCACTTAAAATCTTGGGGTGGCCAGTGAAACTAAAAGCCATAACGTCAGGGTTTGCATCTGTATTTTGTGATTTTTTTTTTTTTTTTTTTTTTTTATTGTTACGTTGCTGGCTGTGCAGAATGGGATGAAATGCTACACTGATGCTACAACAATTTACACTGGCCAGTGGGGTGGCCAGTGAGGTACCAGTGGGGTGGAAACGGGGATGGCAAGTGAGGTGCCAGTTGCAAGGCCAGTAGGTTGGCCAGGTGGGTAGTCAGTGAGCTGCCAGGGGAGTGGCCAGTGGGGTCTAGGACATGACATTGCATAGGGTTTCCGTTGCCACCCCTTGGCGGCACCTTTGAGTCTGATGCAAAGAGTTAAATTTTTTCTTTGTGTTTGAGCTCCGGTTTACAAATCCATCTTAACAATTCACCTTACCTGGGACTGCTTTGGCCGTCTCGCTCAGATCCAAACAAATCTATATAAAAACGATGTCAGCACATGGTACGGATGTTCCTGTCATGGTTTTGGTTTTGTTCAAGTTTTATTTTGAGTTTTCATTGGTGTTATTTTGATTCTTGTGTTCTAGGTATCCTTGATTGTATTTGAGTGCTTGGAACCTTCTAGCTGCCTCTGTTCACACCTGCTCTCAATCTGCTAATTAGCCTGATCTTTGTTTCTCTCTCCCATTTCATAGCCCACCTTTGTCAGCCCGCTACTAGTCATACTCCCCCAAGCCTCTCTCCACCACCCAACCAGACTACTTTTCCTCTCTAGGCTCAGCTCCCTCTATTCTTCCTCTCCAGGCTCAGCTCCCTCTATTCTTCCTCTCCAGGCTCAGCTCCCTCTATTCTTCCCTCTCTAGGCTCGGCTCCCTCTAGTTTGTCCTCTCTGAGCTCAGCTCCCTCTAGTTTGTCCTCTCTGAGCTCAGCTCCCTCTAGTTTGTCCTCTCTGAGCTCAGCTCCCTCTAGTTTGTCCTCTCTAGGCTCGGCTCCCTCTAGTTTGTCCTCTCTAGGCTCGGCTCCCTCTAGTTTGTCCTCTCTAGTCTCAGGTCCCTCTGGTGTCCCCTTTCCAGCCCCTGAGCCTGCTCTGTGCCGTCCAGAGTCCCCTGAGCCCGCTGATGAACTGGTCCCCGGCTTAGTGCTCAGCAGGTGCTCCTTTCCTCCTTTTTAGGGCGTCAGGAAACCGCCCCTAAGTTGGGGGGGGGGGTACTTTCATGGTTTTGGTTTTGTTCAAGTTTTATTTAGAGTTTTCATTGTTGTTATGATTCTTGTGTTCTAGGTACCTTTGATTGTATTTGAGTTCTTGAATATTTCCTGTTTGCCCTCTTGTCTCAGTCTTCTTTTCCCTAGCTCCCTTCTAGCTGCCTCTGTTCATACCTGCTCCCAATCTGCTAATTAACCTGGTCTTTGTTTCTCCCATATAATCTCCTTCTGTTCAGTCACCCTTTGCTGGTTTGTCATCATTTCTTTGCCCCCTTGGTTTGAGTATTCTTGGCCTTCAGCATTTTTGGATTTTTGCATCTGAACTTTTGGTTAATTAGAAAACTCCTTCAGCTTCAGTCTGCATTTAGGACTTGTCAAACCTCCAGCACCATTGTGACAGTTCCTAACCCAAAGAGAGGCCCTGAATCTCCCCAAGGGCCCACAGAATCCTGGGCTGCACCTCACTGTATAGAGGTTAGAAAAAGCTTTATAGGAGAAATTTGTTCTGTTTCCGGGCATAGTTTGGGTCTATTCTATACAATGGTTTGGTTAGGTGACGATATTTGGTTTGAATGTGAATTGTTTCTCTGACCTATATTCCTGCTCTGACACTGTTGGCGCTGTGGGGGAAATCTATTTAAGTGTAAAGATAAGGGCAGTGAGTGAATGGCGTGGGGAGGTCACAATTTTTTTTACCGCTCTCTTTTAAACACTGGTTTGTTTCATTATATCCACATATGGATCAATATGAACGTTTCCTTTGCATGCTGCCATAGACCGCCACCCAGGAGTTTGATCGCATTCAATGTTCACTGTGTGCATAATCAATGGAAGCATTCCCAAACATATTTCCCAGTCTGCACATTACCTTCTGAGCACGTCAGGACCTGGATTTCCTGAAACCAGAAGCAACCACAATTAGATGCAATTTGATGGTCGCCACAGACTTGTTCATTCTTGGACTCATTATTTCAGTCTGACCAAGCTGCAGCTATGGTTCAATACATCTGACCTCCCTTTGTATTAAAGTAAAATAAATCCTTTAATGGAAGGACTTTCTCTTTCTGTTTTGGTTCAAAATATTTAAAAAACTAGAAAATCAGGTTTTGTTTCTTTAATTTAACAGAAATGTTTCACTGCTGAATGGGTGGGGGTCTGTGGTGCAGCAGAGTCTGGAAACGTCCCATGGGAATAGTTTAGCAGGAGGAAACACTGATGTGTTCTTTACCAATAAATACTTTCCTAACAGATATATTTATCAATTTAGTTTAAATGCCCATTTGTTCCAACCATCCTGATGATTTATATTTAATGTTACATCATAGCCCCAAACATCTGAGTTACATTTGTTTCCTTCCTAGAAATGAAGCATCTCTGCAGAGCCCAGACACTCCGCCATCATAACTGAAACTAAATGTTTTTATAAACAGATCAAACATCCACGCCCATCAAGCCCCCCCTCCCCCGCCTGCAGCACAGCTCTGTGCGCCATTATTCCACCCGGTCTGAGACCCACACAGCAAAGCAAAGCAAACGTACCGCTTCGGTTCATGTTGGTCCTCCTGCAGCTCCAAGCCCTGCCATCAGTCCGCTGTCTGTCCTTGGAAGGATGCAGAGAAGCTGCGCTGGTTCCGTGCGCGCTCCCGCTGTGCGTCCGCGCTGCCGTGGCTCCACTGATCCCAGATCAGAGGGAGGTCCAGAGGGTCAGGCTGTGGTTCTGCTGTTCATACTGAACTGGACTTCTTTCAAACATGTTGGACTCAGTAAATGAGCTGATAAAACCTATTTCAGAACATCTGATATGGTTTTAGAAAATATACCTAGAAAAATACCATTAAAGTTATTTTTCAGTGTTTGGCAGGAAAGCAAAAAGCTTCATTTCACTTACATTAACAATCAGTTTATTTTTAAGAAGTGAAAAGAGTGATGCATATTGGTTAATCACGTGACTTTGATTGGTACTGATGAATTATAAACAGGGGTGGATTTAGGAAATTTGGGGCACTAAGTAAAGACAGGCAGGGGGCCCTCTGAATTGAGAAGACACCCATAAAAACAACCCTTCTACAGTAAGAAATG